TCATGTGTGACAGAATCCAATCTAGGTCGGTCATCAGAACCAGAGGTTTAGACTTCCAAGCTTGCGTACTTGTGCTGGAGCCCAAACCCGCTGGTCTAAACCTCTGGTCCCAGTGACCGACCCAGATTGGGTTCTGAAACATTATCTTGAGACATGTATATTTGCCATCACGTGTGTGAATCTTTTTGGGAAATCATGTCAATGGGAGATTGGAAATGGTTAAGAAAGTTATTTTTATAAACCTATCGCAATTTAACTGAATAAATTGTCTATTATAATAATTTCAGTACGTAGTTTCAGCATCTTTAGGTAAGGATAGCCATTTGATGCATGGTACATGAAACGGACTTTAAAAAGGATCTATAAGCCCTCTGGATTGTGCTCCAGCAGTGTTAGGCAAAATATGCTACTAAAAAAGATTTCTGAGACTTAACAAGACAATACAGTAATTCAGAACTTATTAGGTATGGCCAATTTATTATCTCAGTTAAGAGCAACTGTAGCCACTGCACCAGCTTTAATTAGTAAAAATTCATATTTGCCATAAATATCCTTGGATTTTCAGGGAAAAGGTTAGGGCAATCAGAATTCCCAAATAATTTTAAGGTGAACATCAGCACAAGAAAATATTTTTGTTGTGTGACTGCCATTTGATAGACAAAGTTGGGTATATACTGGTTTTCTATATTCCCAGCTACCTCCTGAAAACTACATTACTAGCTGCATGCTTCTGAAACAAAGTTGTAAAACCAGGCTGAAAAAAAGATTAAATAAAGGTTAATCAAACAACAAAAATTACACAGTGGTGTTGAAATATTACACGTCTTTGCAATATTAGTACTACATATGAAGACTGCATTTCAATATAATTCTTTCTTAATAGAGTGATTTTCCTATGAAGCTGCCTAAATCATTTATAAATTCTCATGAATCATGAATCCAGTCTTTAATGAACAGGAAGAATTTAATCTTCACCAGATACTGTATCTTCCAACATGTTTAATACTAAATCCCCGCAACACCCAACGTTTTCACTAGAGGTCTCAAGATATCCACCTTCTTCAGAAAAGAAATGTTTAATTTCATACTATCCAAAATATATAAGCAAGTAAGTAAAAGAATGATACAAGGTTTTGTGTGAAATATATCTGAAAGTGAGTAAGCTTAATTAAATACTTAAGCTTAAGTAAAGTAACTTTAATTAAATATTTTATATGCAGCACCAGGCAGTACAGGACACCAGATGCCTATCAGTAAAACACACAGTAGGATCAGCTTGTCATGAACAATCAAGTGTGCATTGCATCTTAAAAATAAAATTTGAATTGAAACCATAAATATGTTTAGTATAATCAGAGAGATTATACTAAAAGAAAAGCATAATAAAAAGTATCACAATCTACTAGGATTTAACTGACAGGAGCACAACATTGGAAAAGTGAAATTTTGGCAACTATATAGGAAAGAAAGACCCAAACAGATTATGCTGTATTACCGAAAAAGTCTGCATATATTCATAATAGAAACTTAACTAAATTCAAACAGGTATGGCTGCTTTACATTTCAAAGACAGGTTTAAACAGCTGGAATACGGTATGCTTTTAAGAAAAAAAATCAAGAGATCAATGAAAAATATCAAACTATTTAAATAAATATAACCATTAATCTCAAATATTTCAAGAAAAGGAGAAATATTTAAGCAATGATTAAAATTTTTTTAAAGGTGGGATTAATGTTTTATTTTTATTTTTATTTTATTTTGTTTCAGTTAACTCTACCTGCACTATTTTTGGCTAACAGCTTGAACAACATAAACTGATTGTCTATAATATAGTTTCATATTTTAATAAAGTGTGCACCACATCACAATTGTGCACAATCTGCATGGCATGTTTTCTACAAGAAGCTCAGATTATATGTATGTTTCACGCGCTAGAATTTTATCCTTCCATAAATTCTGTAAAATAAATGCCACTCTGGGAAAAGTAATCAGCTGAAGTTTGCTGGATGAACTTCACAGCTATGTAAGAATTTGAGCAGGACACCTGTTATATCTCTTTGCTGAACCCTTCCTCCCCTTGCACTGTTTATACAGCAGATATTGTTTATAACACAATACCTCTTTGACATGTTATACGAGTTTCATAACAGGTTTAGATAAATCAGGATTTGGTCACTTACAATCCCTAGGGTTTTAATTTCAAAACTCTTTTAAACAAGATTAGTTCAGAATTAGTTTAGAAGAAATATTTTGTCCCTGAAGCCACCTATTTGTAGGACAGCAACCCATAGGTGCCTATTGAAGGACCAGGCCAGGCATGCTTGGTCAACAATGGGAGAAAGAAGATGGTGAAGGTCAGTAGGGTATCAGGAGCCATGAAGTGCAGGAGACCAAAAGGGGAGGGAAAATGGAAGCCTTGCAATTGTATGTGCAGCCTGCCAAGCATCCAAACTTTGATTACATGACTTGTGGGGGAGCAGCAACGACCATAACTTTAGACACAGATCATAAGTCCCTTTGTTCAGTGCTGCTGTAACTTCAAACAGTTGAATGAATGGTTGTAAACCAATGGCTATCCATGCCTTGTCTTTGCACCCAGGTAAATAAACCAACCTGCTGGAAGTGATGAATGGTAGAGGCAAAGAGACTGACGGGAGGAGAGAAGGGCCTGAAAAAAGTGAGCCCAGGAATCTGCCCCTGCTCTCTTATTTGCAGACAAATAAAGTTAAGACAAATTAAGTTCTACCAGTTTTTTTGCAACCATTCATTTGTTTCATCCAGATTTTAAGGGAGAGGTAAATCTAAGCAGCCACAAACATAAAAACCCAACACTGTAGAAAGATGGCTTCCTTTAAGCCAGGGGTAGTCAACCTTGGCTCTTTTATGACTCGCGGACTTCAACTCCCAGAATTCCTGAGCCAGCTTAGCTGGCTCAGGAATTCTGGGAGTTGAAGTCCGCGAGTCATAAAAGAGCCAAGGTTGACTACCCCTGCTTTAAGCCAAGAAGGAAAAATATCAGTTTGTCTTTCTTGAGTAGCTCTCCACAATTTCCTTCTCCTCTCTACAATTCTTCAGGATGCCTTACTTTCTAGCATGTAAATAATCTGCTCCAAACTGATAACATTTTCTCAATGGGAATAACTTATGGGAGGTGATAAGCATTTTGGCAGCAGGATAAAGAGGGTATATGGCTGTGCCCTCAGAGAAGTATGGAAAAGAGAATGGACAAAACCACACATTTGCTAACAAGTGTTTTGAATTATACTTGTGTGGTACCTTGAGGGCTTCTCTAGTATTTCAATAGCATTGAATTATCACATGGGCACAGAAACATCTCACTGTGTTTAACCTGTGTCTTATATCATTTGAAAATAGGTCTCTTGGGAAAACATTCCAGGAAAACCCAAGCAAACAAAACAGTCTTTTTCATATATGGTTAACATTAGGATAGTCATAAATTGCAAAATCTAGTTAGAATCTAATTTGGAATCAAGCAGCTTGCTTTTAACTGATTCTTAGTTCAGAAATCCAAAGTGTGACGCCTTGGTATTTTAATATTTTGCCCAGAATTATTGAAGTCTTTCTCCAAGATGTATCTTTACCTCATGGTTACAATTAACAGCTCTGTGAATTTTTGCAACTATACCATGAAGATAAATTCAGCTATAACTTCTTCTTCCAGCCATCAAAGTGGTATACCTCTCCATTTCAGGTTGTTGAGGTTTCTCCCAGAAGTTTTAATTCCAATTTCTATTCTTAATCCAGGAATCTTTGTTGCTTTCTGCTTTTAAATTAATAACAGGGAAATATACCACCTTGGAGGACTGCTTTCTTTTCAACCATTCAGTTGCTCCATATACCAATCCAACTGTTACTTCCTGGTCATCATTCAAAATCTTCAATAAGCAGATGGGGTGTCTAGTACACCCCTGTTTTAAGGACTATCCACAGATTGTTGTGATTTTTCAGTCAAAAGCTTTAATATAATGCAACAAAAATAGATGTCTTACAGGAATTACTTTGCCTTTTCTATTTTTTATCCTTGAACCTATGAATCCAGCTTATGCATCTGGCAGTTCACATATTGTTGAGGTCTAGATTGCAGAACTTAGAGCATTATCTTATCAGTGTGTGAAATAAGAGCAATTGTTTGATCATTTGAACATTTTCTAATAGGGTCATTTATGGAATTTGAATATTAATTTATTTTGCAATATTTACAGCCTGCTACAAACAGGCTGTGGGTGAGGTACAATAAAGAAATATAAATGGATCTTTTCATTCCTTTGGCCATTTGTTATTCATATCTGCTTATAATTCACAAATAGCATTTTAACTGCATCATCTTATAAGATTACAAGATAGGCCTAATAGCCACTATCAACATTCTTTGTAGATAGCTGCTTACTAGTTTTACTGGGAAAGGAACTAGAATCCACAATGATTATATACAAAAAAGCTGGTTTCCCACTTTTAGAAAGAAGCAGAAAACCAGAATTTGATTCACCTTCAGTCAAGAGATGATTAATCAGTAGTTTGGCAGGAACAGCATGCAACCATGAGCTATATTTTTGTGGCTAAAAGCCACACATGGTCACAGGCTTTGCCCTCAAGGAAAGTTTTTAAATCACTAAATGATATTTACTGGAATGCTTCTTAAAACCACATTAACACAAGATTGGAGAGGATAGAAGGTTGAGTTGGACTGGGTTGGGAACTATGGAACAAAGAAAGTCCATATTTTTCTCCCCAGGACAGTATATCCCTACGGACAAGGCAGTTGGACAATGAATCAGAATTTTCCAATTCGCCATTCTACAACAAGCATATCCTTTCTACACATGTGGCCTAAAAGAGAGCTATTATTAAGGGGTCTGAAGGAATTCCATAAGCCCTACTCTATATTGTTTCCCTATCTCTTCAATATTATGAGTGAAGTTATTTGGAAAAAGGGGTTCATATAACTTTTATAGGCTGATTAAGGACTGTAATATAATACCTGTCCGGTGTACGCGAAGTCCAGAGCTTGCTTTAAACCTATTCCTGTGATGCCATGTAAATTCACTTCATCTGCACAACTTTCAACCATACAAAGACTGAACATTGCCTAAGGGAAGAAATAAAATATTTATTCATTAAAACTGTTATGCATAACGTCCACGTTAAGAATCAGAAAACAATGATGGTTCTCTTGCTAGTCCTTAAAAAAAGACTTTTGTTAAACATGGACTGGCTCCCAAATAGCACAGAGGTTTCTATTCATGTGGCAAAGACCAGGCAAAGAGGTTATCTCTGTAATTTTTCTTTTCTCCTATACAATAAATCTCTGTGTCTTTTGGAAAGTTGCTTTGGAAGGCTGGAAAAATACACAGGACACTGTATGAAAACAACAACAACGATGAAAAGCTTAGAGCAGAACTTGTGGTGCCTTTTATAAAACAAAGGAACAGTTCCCTTCAATGGGGATCTAATCCAATGAAGTTACTAATCAATATTCTATAGCTTCAAGGGAGTCAAATTTTGGAGTTACATTTTGTTTTATTATTACATTGATATTCTTCCATTTCTGTAGGAGCTTAAAACCGTGGACACGGCCGTCTTACATTTTAATCTGTCATTAAGCCCAAAAAGCAGGCTAGGCAGAAAGATGATGACTTTCAATCTAAGTACTCAATCTGCTGAATCTGAGTGTTCCCAGTCCTAATCTGACATTGGTTTCACTGTACATGGCCAGAAGATTGCATTATTGAAAGTATTAAGGGTTTTTTGTTTTGTTTTTTTGCAATTTTACTTCTTAATCATCAAAAAGGAGGCATGAGAGCACACTACCTCTCCTATATCAGGATAGCGGGATGCCTACCGGTTGAGGCACTCCTGGAAGATGGGTGTTGGCAGCATCTCTTTTGTTTTAAAAATCTTACTGAGCCCTAGCAATCTAAACTTAAATATCTACCTTTGCTCGCAGTGGTATATTCATTCATCTATACAAGTACAAAAGGGCTTTTAACAAATTAAAAAACAATATTGTAGCAACTGCTATGAGGGGCTCCTGAACTACAAGGTCTCTGCTGGCCGGGCATAAATGTACAACTGCACATTTCCTTCCCACCTAAACAGTATTCTTTTTTCCTGGCTAAGCAATGTCTGCACAAAGTCTTAATCTACACCCACAAGGCTTTTTCATGCACATAAGGTGTTCCAGCTTGTGAAAAAGCCATAGCAAACTACTCCCACAACACTGCGCCTAAGTGAAAGCCTCGCACTGAAGGACAAGCTGTGTTTTTGCAAACATTGATAATGCTGTTGGATATCAGGAAAGCAACATATGCTACTTCTGGCACCACAATGACTAGTCATTTGAATGCTCTGGCATACCACAACTTCTTCACAAGATTATGGGTTCACTGCATCCTAATCCAACTTAACATTGTATATTTTTCCAAGAGATGGGATAACTTTCATTTCACTTTTCAACCATGCAGTCAATAAAATAAAGCAAAACACAGCATAGTAGCATCAAACTAAAACTGACTCAATACAGATAGTCTTTGGGTTATTTGTGACCATGTATTTAATAACTGTTCAAAGTTAGAATGGCACTGAAAACTGGACTTATACCTGTCCTTGCACTTGGAACGATCGTAGTAAACTTGTGATCAAAATTTGGGCACATGGCAACTAGCCCAAACTTACAACCATCGCAGCGGTCTGCAGTTCCATTCTCTTGCCCTGCATGAACTGCCTCTGCTTCAAATCCCCTCATCAATCTTCCCGGCCCAATGTTTGTCCTTTTAGCTGCCCTGCACAGCATGGTGATGCTGCTATGTTCCACTGTCCTAGTTTACCTTTGTAATCTTCTTCGCCTTCCCCTCCCCTCCGCTGAATGGTCTCTAGATGGCCTGAAGCCCCACAGTGTAGGGGCTCTGTCACTGCTAGACCCAGAGACGGCAGCAAAACTAAAGTGGTATCTTCATCAGGGTGATCAAAAGAGCAGAAATGAGCTCCCACAGAGCCCCAAACCATGGAGCTTGAGGCCAATTGGCGTCAATGAGCCCAGAAAATGGGAAAGGAGCTGAAGACAATGAAGGTGGGTGATATAATGCCATGGCATCCCCATCTTGGCCATGCTCTACAGGGCAGTCAAAAGGACAGGGAACGGAGATAGGTGGGTGGAGGGAGTTGAAGCAGAGGTAGTTCCCGCAAGGCAGGAGAAATGGGCTGATTCCCTGAAAGCATCCTTTGCCTTGGAAGAACCAAGGCTCAGGGCTCAGGACTGGTGTGGATTGGTGTGGGAGCTTTCAAGTGACAGGAGACGTGATCGCCATCTGCAACTTTATAATAAGCAAAGTCAATGGGAAAACAGGCAGGAGGTTGCACACTGCAATCACCTGATGTCCTCACCTAATAATCACACTTTCTGGAACTGCTGTGGCTAAGCGGTGCAGTCAACTTAAATTTTAAGTTTTCCAAAAAAAAAACCCTTAATGTTTTAAACTGACATTTAACACTTAATAAGTGTTTTGCATAGCAACGGGAATCCCAGTCCCAATTAGGGTGATAACCTGAAGACTACCTGTAAGTTCAAGAGGTAGAAGAATAATACCATCCAAATGAAATTATAATGCATTGAAAATCAAGTAACAATGGTGACAGGTGATTAAGCTTAGGCAGTCATTCCTCTCTCATTAAGGAAGTCCTTTCAAATGTATTCTGGCAGCTGCATTTGGATCAAATTGAAGCTTGCTAACCAGTCTGCAAAATGTAAGGAGAGCGCATAGTATAACTGCAGTGTAGGCTGAGAATTAAAAGGAAATAAATAACTAAGGTCAAGTCAGATCTGCTCACAAAAGGATTTAGCTGATAGAAGACTAATCCTGCTACCAGCCATACAGTAAATTACCCCAATCTGGGGATACCTCCTAGTACATAACTAATATTTCAAAAATATTGCAAATCCTAATAGGCTGCAATCTTATCACGATCTTCTGTCCTTCATTTTATCCAAAATCATTCAAATCACCACAAACAGGGAAAATTCTTTTCTGGCTCATGAATGCCTCAAAGTGATTATTACTTATTTAATTCATATACCCCCCCCACACACACACACACGTGCGCGCACACACACACACACATAGTGTGCTTTTTTATTGCATCTGAAATATGTATATGCATATGCATACAGTACGTATATGCTTATGCATATTAGATGCATCAAAAAAGCAAACTTCAAACTCAATATTAAAATACAAATAGAATAATAGAAAATCTTGAAAAAAAACTATCATTGGACTGATCTAGTGTGACACAATCACGCAGTTAACTTGAAAGCAATATCCAAGAGTTGAACTGCATTTATTTATGAGCACAGAAAAATCTAGTTCAGCTATACCAGGGGTAGACAACCTTGGCTCTTTTTTGACTCGTGGTCTTCAAGTCCCAGAATTCCTGAGCTAACATGGCTCAGCTTGGAAACCTCTCCCTTTCCCCTCAGCATGGCTGGCTCAGGAATTCTGGGAGTTGAAGTCCACGAATCATAAAAGAACCAAGGTTGCCTACCCCTGAACTATACAGAAAGTCCTTAGCTTACCAGTTCAATTGGGACCAGAACTATATTGACACTAAGCAAGATAGTCATTAAGTGAGTTATACTTGTTTTATTATCTTTTTGCCACAATCAGTATGCAAATGACCATGGCCCTTAAATTAATCACGTTTGTCAGAAGCCCCCGGGAAGGTCACAAATGGCAGTCATGTGACATTGGGACACTGCAACTGTTATAAATACATGCCGGTTGCCAAGCATCTGAATTCTGATCATGTGACACAGGGACTCTGTGAACGTCATAAGTACAAGGACTGGTTGTAAGTCTCTTTTTTTCAGTGCCATCATAATTTTGAATGGTTGTTAAATGTATGTTCATAGGTCAAGAACTATCTGTACATATTTTACATGTAGAAAGAGAGTCTTATGCCAGCCTTCCTTTCCAAGGACTAGATGCACCACACAGAATCCATATATGTCCATATACACACTTCCAGAAATGTACGTGCATGACAATACTTGAAAAATAACATTTTCACACTACTGTGTCCAAAATTTAAAAGAAAAGGGAATTTACATTTATTATAACAATCTAGAAGTAACAATTACATAAAAATATTACTATACTGGCTATACTATACAAACATATGTTAACTTACTCTGAAATAGTCACTGCATGCTGCTAGTACAGCCTTGTGAGCAGGGAATTTCTGTTCTTCAGCAATTAGAGTTATATCACAGAGGATCCCATCGTTTCTTTGTTGGTTCAGAGCTGCCAGGACAGCATCATTGTGAGAACTGGATTGGCAAAGTCTCTGACCAGTCAGCATATCTTGAATACTGCAAAAGACGAAACAGTAACTAGGACCATGAGGATCAAAATAAAGTCTATGAAATATACCCATGTGCTTTAAATTATCTGATTTTTTAATTACCACATATGTAATCTATTTATGTATGTATTTGTACAATATTTTTTCAGGGGAAAAAAGTGCCTGAGAATTCCCTGTAAAGTGTAATTGCACAGGAATTCAATATTAGGGTTGGAGGGACAGTCAATCAGATGTTTAGATTGGATCTGATATTTCTGTCCACATATCAAGCCCTTCCCAAGGGCTTGGAATAGGGAAATGTTTTATTATTATTATTATATACACAACATGTGAAGTCACAGCTGCCGCTTCATTAGCTGGTGATGGCCTTCACACACATCAAGTACTTCCCAAGAACCTAGGATGTCATAATTTATTGTTGCAATGAATGTGCGGGTCCAAGTATTGTAACCTTTTGTAATTGACAGATGTAAATTTTGTCAATGCACAGATTTTCTAGGTGCTGTAAAGAACTTTTTTTTTTTAATTTGGCATCCACTGTGTCAATAACTACTGGGACCATCACGGTCTATTTATAACATAATCTTTCCACTTCAGTAGTTACTACTACTACTACTACTACTACTACTACTACCACTACCACTACCACTATTACTACTACTACTACTACTACTATTATTATTATTATTATTATTATTATTATTATTATTATTATTATTATTATTATTTCTGACAATTAAAAATACAGTATTTTTAATTTTTTCCTATTTCTGCACAGAATCAACAGATCTGCAGTATTATGGTCTATCAGAAATATTACCATAGTTCATTAGACAAAAGTAGATCTCATTCTTCTATACCAAATAAAGCTGTTCTAAACATCCACAATGTGCCCATACATAAATTATCATTACCAGGGCTCAGATCAACTGAACTGCAATTCTTATGTTGCATAAGAATTGTACAATGTCAACCAACAGCATGTTTGTGAGCAATTTCCCCCAATTTCCCTGAATATAAGTAATTAAATTGTCATTGCCACTAGAAATGGCAATACATACCATTCTTTCCAACACTCTAGAAATGTTCAACTTTATATAATGCACTTTTTGAGAGGGCAAAGTGGCAGAAAGTACTGAAATGTATTACTAAATATAGCGCTAGTTTCTTGAGATAATTTATGTATCACTACCAGTTCCTGTCAACACTTTTTGCTGTAACAAAAATAAACACACGCTAGAAAAAACATTTTAACAAATCACAAAGAATAATGTGCTACAGAATAAAGGGACAGTAACACTAGAAATGTATTTTGCATTTCTCAGGGTCGGCCATTCCTACATTACTCTGATACTCTTTGGTCATGTTAGGTCTATACCTGTATCTCCCAGAATTCCCAGGCACTGTAGCCCTTAGGAATACTGAAGGAGGAAAACTATGCTGGTCCGTGGAAGCAAAAAATTAATCTGGTGACAGCTTTCCAACTTAAAAAAATCATTAGAAAGCATGCTTTTTCATTAAATGCAACTCTGATAAAGTGAACTAAAGTTTACAAAAGTTTTCATGTTATATGTTTAAGCATAATAATAATTTATTAAAATTGCATGTCTAAAATTTCCCAAAAGTTTAAATCTAAGGCAATTCCTATGGTAAATCATTTGTTCTAGAGTTTTGGACACATATTTAAACCTAAAGAAGTGCAGAATTCAAAGTTCACATCTCATTTTTACCATGCATAATTAGAATCACATATGCAATATGTAAACAACACAAATAGTCCAACTAGCTGGAAAAATGATTTGTATTATTGTAAAAATGTTGTTTAACTGAATCAAATTTGGAGGAGTGAAAAATCTTATTATTCTTTCTACTTTAGCTTATATATGTTTTTAAAAATTAATTTTGAGGACTGATCTATAAGGAACACCACAATGCTATTCTCTTCCTTCTTTCTCTCTCTCCAGGATTTACAAGTTCTTATTTTAGGCTGAAATGCACAACATGTAAATAAGCTGACAAAGTGAAAAGAGCAAACATTTTTTACATCAAGATTTTCTGTGAGAAAAGTTATCATGAAAATTCAAGGGAACCTATCACATTACCAAACAAACCTTTGTTGACAGGGTAATTTTGATGGGATAGGCATGGATCCAGATGGCGGTATTGTCATCCTTTAGTAGGTAACATGAACACATATACTGTAAAATGAAAATTGGCTGAGGCAGATACTGTGAACTATACCTGAGGCACACTTCAGATGGCATCCTTCAGCTTTACTGTTTGAAATCCCTTGCTTCTTAATAATTTACAAAAATGCACTACACATTCCAACTGAAAGGAAAGAAAAAAATAGGATTAGAATTAAAATGACTTTCTGTTCTCTCCCTTGCAGAGAAAACTGCAATTGCTACAAAAAGCAATTAGGCTAAATATTCATGCCAAATAGTTAACGCCAGTATCAATGCCCAATGGGAGAAGGCAGGACAAGAAGCAACGGATGGAAACTAATCAAGGAGAGAAGCAACCTAGAACTAAGGAGAAACTTCCTGACAGAACAATTAACCAGTGGACCAACCTGCCTCCAGAAGCGGTGAATGCTCCAACACTGGAAGTTTTTAAGAAGAAACTAGACAGCTATTTGTCTGAAATGGTATAGGGTTTCCTGCCTGAGCAGGGGGTTGGACTAGATAACCTCCAAGGTCCCTTCCAACTTTATCATCATCATCATCATCATCATCATCATCATCATCATCATTATCTGCCAATATTTAGTATCAAGTTACACATATACTTTTTTGAAACTGCAAATTGAATATAAAAATTGGACGTAGAAATATAAAAATTGGGTCTACTGTATATATTTTCCACTTGCCATATAGGTGTCTAGTAGTAAGCTAAAAGAATATGTTTTTGCAAGACAAAACCCTGATCTCTAAGAACTGTTTTCTTCTCTTTAGTTAAAATCTAAAAAGCAAAACTAGTTTAGTACAGTATACAGTACATATTTTGAGCCATATCTTTAATGCATCTTTTCTGCTGAAGCTCCCACAAACTATACTTTGCTTCCACTTGCTGTAAAAGCTCTGAGGCATAAAAAGTTACGATGCTTACAGTACAACATTCAACTTCATGACTGATTCATTAAGAATATCCTACAAAGCAACAGATACAAAAATAAAAGTTTAGCATTACTGTTTTTCTTCCTATATCAACCCCCCCCCCCCCAGTTCTTTGAATTTCATTAACTTCACCCCCATTCTACTTCCTCTTTAACCTTGTTATTTCAGCATGAAAAGTTCAAACAGCAATGGAAATACAATTAAAGAGGTTTTTCATTGACTGATATTTGTATCCTATCTGCCAGGACAACAAGAATGTGAAATAGAACCAGAGCAGAATGATGCAAGTTTACCACTAATTGTTCCCCCATGACTCTTACTAATCAAAGTACACGTCTGCACATGTTATTTTGAAGGTTCATTTCATGTGAAGGTAATGCAATTTTATTTTTGCACATTCCAGAACACATCACTTTCCGCATCAAAGAAAACATCATCTCTGGAAATTCCATGCGCAGATTCAAGGCATAATTCAGCACTCATTTACTACACGGTAAAAATCTTTCAAAATCTATCCTTTATCATCATCTTTGTCATGATGAACACAGTGAACATATTTTGTTAGCTCTATGAGCAATTATAGGAATGGAAACACACAAGTGGTCATACGAATAGGATCACATTGCCATAAATGCAGGAGATACATTACAAGAACTGACTCCAATTATTCTAGTACAACTCTTTATCAGAGCAAACTTACGCATTTTATTACGGTAGCTTTCATTTTTAAAAGTTAATCTTTCAATTCTTATATAGATGTAGCCCAATATTTCGATGGATTTACAAAGTCTCAAAAGTCTTTTATGTTAATAGCTGAATATGGAACAACATTTTAGATGATTCAAGGAAAATGGTATTTGAAGAAGATAGAAAACTCAAACTGAATAGAAATCAAACAATCTGTGGATAAGAAAACAACAGCTAAGAGCACTTGGCTGAAATTATCAGGGCTCAGAAATTAAACAGGGTCATACCTGGTAACTGGTAGGTTATACCAGACTAGTAGGTATAACTGAGAAGTCTAGAAACATTCCCAAAGCAGAGAATGGTGCAAACAGTCTAAACCAAGAATGCTTAAGTGACGTATTCACCAGCAGGACTGAAAGAAACTTTATCTTAAGGTTAGGTATACCATATGATAAGAGGCTCAGCAACTACTTAGCTGTTTTCAAAAATAATCTGAATTTATGTTAGATGTATCTGAAGGATGATGTACAAATTCAATATAAGATCATACACAATTTCAGAAAGCAAATTATACTTTTCGTTTCATAGGGCAGTATTCAAACAAAGTTGCACCTTACGAGTGCAACTTATGCTGCTATTTGTATTATGCTAAAATATTTACTACAGGTATAGATCCCTCTCTGATTGGAGTTGGTAAAGAGGAGAGCAATGCTGCTACTAAAGACTCCGCAAAGGAGGAGATCAATCTTTAGCTTCTCCAGATAGGATTTTAAAAATTCCTGCTAGAAACTTTGGGAAATCTCTTCAACAAAGGCAGCCTTAAACTAGATCAGGGGTTCCCAACCGTGCGAGACGATATTCCAGGGGGTGCGAAAACTTGGGTTTAGAAGTTTCAAAATTATACTATATGTGCATAATTCATTGCCATTTATTTCAAACTTTTGTAAGGGGTGCGAGAATATATCAGAAGTGTTCTAGGGCTGCGGGGTATAGAAAAGGTTGGGAACCGCTGAACTAGATGGATCAGAAGACTAACTTGATACAGTATCAAGAAGCTTGTATGACCTTGATTTTTTTCCCCCACAGAATTGATTGTCTGGAAACATGGCTACTCTATCCAATTATTCAATAATTTTATGGTTCTCCACCCATTACTCCATCAGCTTTAGATTTTATTGGTTAGAATATTCTACTAAAATATTATACAAGAAAGCAGAGACCATACGTTTCTCTCTGAAAACCAGCTTTTTGCCCTACATGCTGGCTTTTTAAAAACCTGGGACATTCACAAAGAAAATATGTTTTACGTTCTCCTCTTTACCATTGGTAGCATCACTTGAGCCAACAATTATTGCCTTAATAAATGTAGACATTGCTGAGTAGGAAATTTGATTCCAGCTGCTTTGATCTATTGCACAGCAGTGAGCAACAATGACTTGGAAAAGGGATGCTGACTTGAAAAGCACATTCCACTCCAGGAAGAACATTACGACCAGATTAAAGCTACAATTCTATGAAATAAAAGCAGAACCCATGAAGCAATACATAAAAATTTCAGAGTTTCAAAATCATTTAGAGCTACAGTGTATTAAGACCACGAAAATGTTTCTATTATTTGTGAAAGAAAGAAAAAATACATAATGCTAAAACATTGATTTTATTATTTTTTTCCTTGAATTATGTTGTTCATTAAAGTAATACAGGACAAAATAATAGAGAAAACTAATTATCGAGGCTGGAAAGAAACTAATATGATACTAAAATAATTGCATTTTATTGTAAAGTGTATCAATCAGATTGGCTAGATTCATAGGTCACAGCCTATAAAGCTTGTGATTTAATGTTATCTGAATCCCTTGTGTTTATTCTGGTTTTTATATAGAGAGTTTATGGTTTACTGTTACACATATCAGCAAAGAGTTTATCTACATTGATTCCATATGAAGCAGACCATAATGGAAAATGTTTCAGAGGTAATGAGGATATTAACTGTATTTGCAACTGTTAGGAATTCCTATAAAAACATGAGAAATTCCAGTATAATTTTCAGAAATACAGAAATATGTATAACAGATTACAGACACAAACGGTTTTCAAATGTGGAAACAGAATTGGAGAGCAGGATCATTTCTGCATTCTTTTCTATGTAATGCTAAATAAATTCCTACCTTCTTAAATTTTAAATAACAGCTTTGATAGTAAAAAAAAAAATGGCTTTAGGAGAGAGCATTGGGGGGAACATTAGATTTTGCTATTTACCTTTGTTCAATTTGGAAATAAACCTCCATTTGGTTATCAATGACAGACACTCGCAGATACAGAATTTTATTATACACATTAGAAAACTACATTACATTACTTTTTGACATAATCGCCATTCAAATTGAGGCACTTGTCATAACATCTTACAAGGTTTGAAATTCCTTAATAGTAGTCGCTCGGCGCCAAATCTTGGCTATAGGGGAGGTGATCAAAAACATCCCAACAGAACTGCTTCAAAAGTTCTTAGGTGTGTCTAGCAGTGTGTGGGTGAGCATTATCGTGAACCAACACCATACCGGAAGTGGTGCCATAGAAAATCCCGCCAAATATGAAGATGCCAAAGGAGTACTGCTAGTGAAGTTCTTGGAGCATGGTTCGACCATCAATTCAGAAGTCTACTGTGAAAAATTACAAAAACTCAGATGAGCCATCCATAACAAGCATCGGGGCATGCTGACTTCCGGTGTGGTGTTGGTTCACGATAATGCTCGCCTGCACACCTCCAGATGCACCCAAGAACTTTTGAAGCAGTTCCATTGGGATGTTTTTGATCACCCCCTGTAGCCCAGATTTGGCACCAAGCGACTACTACTAAAAAATTTCAAACCTTGTAAGACGTTATGACAAGTGCCTCAATCTGAATGGCGATTATATCAAAAAGTAAAGTAATATTATTAATAAATAAAATTAAAATCAACCAATAACAAAACAAGCATCAAAAATATATTCTGCTAGATCAGGTGGAAACACCAAATCACCACCTATGAACCTCTCCCTGGTATCAGGATCATGACATTAGGATAAATTAGAAATATGGAGTAAATTACTTTGTAATTTATTCTTGTTAAGATATCTTTAATTCCTGTTCTTGCAAATATATCTTCTATAAAGACTAATGAGAGTAAAATTTAGAAAAGATAGTATCCAAACCGATAGTATTGGACTACTAATATGAACAATATGAAAATATTTCCTATCAGGTCTTACTAGCTTTCTGATATGGGAGTGGAAAACAAAGGTATGGCCCCCTCAATCCCTAGAATCCTCCTTCAGGATTCTCATTATCTTGATAGAAACCACCTCAAATCCTTTCCAAATTACTATAGCCCAATTTGAAAAGATCAATTGTTTCACTTTTTAAATAAAAGTGAAATAAATATCAAAACAAAAACAAAAAGTTGAGGTTGTATTTCAGTACACAAAACCACTAAATACAGTAGAGCAGAAATTTGAGCCAGGATTTTGGTCTGGCTTTAGC